ACGATGCTTTGCATGACAACCGAACCAAAAGTGCACAGAGAATTTTACATAAAAGTTGCATAAATCCACGTATTTACAAGCAAACATGTTTCTAGTATTTGTGCTTAAATATACATACACACATACATACATACGTGCACATGTATACTGGCACATGTCGTATGTGAATCCACGTGCAAAGGACCTCCAATGGGCGCGCTTATATTTAGCTCGCATTGCGTGAAGTATCCCTGCAAAAAGTGGGACCAGGTAAAATTTTAGTAAAGGACAACGCTACCGTGTAACCAACGACCTGACCATTTCTGGTCCAACGCTGCATAACATGGGACCACCTAGACAACTACTCCTTTTAGACCATAGACTAAACTTCATAAGATAATTTATAAACCGAATATTTGCTCATTTTCAATGATGATTTTTAACTTTAAATAGTAAACTCTATTATTGAAAAAAGCATTTTATTAAAATTCGCTTTAATAATATTCACATACGGCAACCGAATCAAATTGCCGATGGGCCACGAAGAGGTGATCTTCAACACATATAAATACATATATCAGGTTTTTACGTTTGAAGTGGCCCAGGTCAGCATAACAAGTTACTAGTAAGCAACCTGGTCCTTTTACACATAATTTAAAACTACGTCCACGTACTAGTAGACCACCCGGTCCTCAAATTTTTGCAGGGATTTTATATCTGTACGCAAGTACATATGTACTAGGGATGCCAAAATATCAGGAAAATTGGGATCCTGGGATCTCGGGATATTTTTTAGGTAATCAGTCATAAATTTTATGAATATGAGTCAAAATTCAATATCTGAAAGCATTTAAACATACGATTAAATAAAATTATTTAAAACTTACGATAAACTGATTGTAAAACTCATATATCGCTAGCTTAGAGTGAAAAGTTGCCAACTTCATTTTTAAGGCCTGTATGTAGCTCTCAAGAAAAGCAAAAACTCCATATAAAATGACGTACAAGAAATGGCTAAGAAATTTTCTCGAGTCAAATTTCCTTAAGGCAGTACGCAGTTCTAAGGTTTTTTGTGAAAAAAAGAGCAGAAGGCAACCCAGGTTTGCAACAGAAATATATGCCCGTTCCATTATTTCTTGAGGAAAGAGTGAGGCAACAGGCTGTGAAGTATCAAAAATGTCAAAATTCCTTGGACACACACACGAAATCATGGCAATTTTTTCTTGACCGTTTTCTTGAGAGCTGCATACAGGGCTTTAATGAAAAATCATATTTTGATATAGGAGGCTAGATAAATTAAAATTGCATCGTTGCGAAACGGGTAAAGGTCCTTGTTTTATGTTTATATTCAATGAAAGGAAAATTTGCTAAGGCCAAAAAAACTTCGAAAATTCGATAAGGCCAAAAAAGTTCGAAATCTTTGAATAGAGATCGAATCCCTCTGATTCGTATGGAGTTTTGCTTTGCTTTAAACAGGCAAAATGTTGTATTCAAAGTTTTGCGAAATACTTGAAGAAAATGGCTATACGAAGTTTTTTCCTCTCCTGTACAATCTTTACATTGGGACTTAGCAACTTTGCACTCTACGCTTGCAATATTTATTTATTAAATCAGACAAATTTGAAAGTAAAATATTTTTTTAATTGTATTTAAAAAACCATGTGATTGAGGAACGTATACATCACAAATAATAATTTAAACACCAGGTACTTTTGAAAGTAACGATTAGTAAAAAAACATAAAACAAAAATTTACAAAAACAATTTCTCTAAACATGTTTATTCTACTCTATAAAAAAATGGCGAATGGAGAATTTTTTGCCATTTTTTCGCAATTTACTAGAAATTTTGAAGGTGTACGA